AGAGAGACAGGGAGACACAGAATCGGAAGCAGGTTCTAGGCTCCCAGCTGTCAGCACAGAGCCCGACGTGGGGCTGGAACTCAGGAGCCATGAGATCATGGCCTGAGCCGGAGTCGGACGCTCAACCCACTGAGCCACCCAGGCACCCCTCGGATCTCCGTTTAAAGGTCGTCACTTCCTCCCGCCGGCTTCCCTGACCTGCCTTCGGAAGGCTTAGCGGTGGGGGGACGAGGAGAGGGGGCGGGCCCCCCGTCGAGGTCTTTCGGATCCTTCTGGACAACGGCGGCGGAGGGTGCGGGCAGGGGAGCGAGGCGGCCCGGGGTGCCCCGGCAGAGGAGTCACCAGCCCTTCCCGTTATGTCTCCAAACAGGTGCAGAAGGTCATGCCCGACGACACTTTCTACTTCTCCATCCTCAGAAACCCCGTCTTCCAGCTGGAGTCCGCCTTCGCCTACTACAGGAAAGACGTGCCCGCCTTCCGGGCGGCGGGCAGCCTGGACGCCTTCCTGGCCTCCCCGCGCACCTACTACCACCGCGGCGCGGGCCTGCGCAACGCCCCCGCCCGGAACGGCATGTGGTTCGACCTGGGCTTCGACAACGACGCGCCGGCCGACGAGGCGTACGTGCGCGCGCGCCTCGCCGACGTGGAGCAGCGCTTTCAGCTGGTGCTCATCGCCGAGCACTTGGACGAGTCCCTGGTGCTGCTGCGCCACCTGCTGCGCTGGCGGCTGGACGACGTGGTGGCCTTCCCGCTCAACTCGCGCAGCCCGCGCAGCGTCGCCGGCCTGTCGCCCGAGGCCCGCGCGCGCGCCCGGCGCTGGTGCGCCCTCGACTGGCGCCTCTACGAGCACTTCAACCGCACCCTGTGGGCCCGCGTGCGCGCCGAGCTGGGCCCGCGGCGCCTGCGCTCCCAGGTGGCCCAGCTGCGGGCGCGGCGGCGGGAGCTGGCGGCGCGGTGCCTGCAGGACGGCGAGGCCAAGAACGGGTCGCAGATCACCGACCGCCGGCTGCGCCCCTACCAGTCGGGCGTGGCCGACATCATGGGCTACAACCTCCGGCGGGGTCTGGACAACCAGACGCGGCAGATGTGCCTGAGGATGGTGACTCCCGAGCTCCAGTACATGGCCCACCTGTACGCCCGCCAGTTCCCGGGGAAGCCCCCCAAGAACATCCCCTTCCTGGAGGAATAGAGGGACGGGGTCGGGCCCCCCGTGTGACTGCAGCCCCCTCCTGTCATGGCGGGGAGGCCGTGGCCCCAGTTCATGCGGGGGCGGGGGGGCGGGGGAGCTCCCGCAGCAGCAGCCCCTCTTTAGGGTGAAGACCCCTGTGAAGGCGCCCACCCGGTATCCATCCTCTTGGAGGGGCCTTTTCGGTGAGGGCCCCGATCTCGGACAGTAGGGACACCTGGTCTGAGGGCATGAACCTGTTCAAAAGAATACGCTCACGTGTTTAATTAGACGTCAGTACACCGTCCCACGAAGGAACACACACGGACACGCGGCCCATCATAGCGCATGCCAGCGCGGCCGGTGGAAGGAACACTGGACACGTGAACCGTCAGAAGAATTGGAACTCAGAGAACCCAGAGGGGCTTGGGCAGCAGGGCCATAGGTCCCCGAGGGAGCCCAGAGTGGCTCCCTGAACTTGCCGGTCACAGAGACACTTGTGCGGCACCCACAGGTGGCACTTGGATAACAGGCCCAGGAAACTGGTATGAGGCAGCGAGTCTGGAATGTTCAGCTTCCCATCTCTTTGGCTGTATGAGGTTTCTTTCCAGCCGAAGAATGGCTTTAGGTTGAGAAATGTTCCAACTGTGTATAAGACGCATGGTTTGGCCGGAGCACAAGCCGGGGGTGGGGGTGGGGGTGGGGGTTAGTCCTGCAGCTCCCTGTTGGGACAGCCCCCTGGGGTGTCTGCCGGAGGAGCCCCCGCGGCTGGTGGCACCCTCCCTTGTGCCGGAGACCCCCTCGGATGCAGCGCCAGAGGGGGGCGGCTTCCAGGCACCCCTGTTTGCCACCCGTGGGGAGGGACTGAGGACCCCCTGCCTAGCAGGACAGGATCCCTGGCTGCCCCGGGGCCCAGTGCTTAGGGCGGGGTGCACACTGGAACCGGATGCCCCGTGTCCCGAGAGAAGCGGGGTGCCTGGGGCAGCCAAGAACCAGAACTGCTCTCACATGCTCAGCCTGGCCTGTCTGCCGGGTGCCCAGGGTCTTCTTCCTTCCACGCCAGGGTCCTCGGCCTGAAGTCCCCAGTTGCCTGGCCGGGAGTTGGGGGGAGGCAACCTGGGGAGGGGGCGTGGCCGCACTTTTCAGGGGGTCAGCATTTCGCAGAGACACCCAGCCATCAGAACAGGCAGCATCTACCTTGGACATCAGTTTAATGGGAAATTTAAGAATAATGAAACTTCAGTGAGATTAGAGGACATATTGCAGAGATTTTTGAGAGTAAAACAGGATATCAGAAACTGAAAACCTGACTTCCCCAAAACTGCACAGAGACAGTAAAGACCAGAACGGACACTGCAGAGAGCCAGGGGCAGTGGGGACCGTGGAGGGACGTCCTGGGCAGTGGAAGGGAGACCAGATGCAGGTTAAGTAGCACGTGGGTAACAGAGTCCCAGAAGGAGAGTGAGGGATTTATAGGTAAGAAACTATAGCCACACAAAGAAACGAAAATATTACCCCCATTTGAAGACAGACTCAAATTGGGTGCCCTGGGCGTCAGGCAGTCTCCACCAGTTAGCTTGGGCCAGTGTGCCCGTCCAGGGTGAGGACAGACGTGCCTCGTCTTGTCCCCAGTGCCAGGACCACAGAAGGGGGTCTGTTTTCAGCACGCCCATCAAGAACGCAAAGTTATAATAGGAATTCAATGATGTTTGCTTTTGCCTTTGAGGTTGGCAGGAATGTAAACTGGTTCTCTCTCTTTGGAAGGAAATTCGGGAGTATTTATTACAAGGTAAAGTGCATGTGGTCTGTAACAAAAAAAAAAAAAAACACGGAAAACCATCTGCTCAGGAAATCCATTCGAAAGGGATATTTAAAATGCTTGGGTCTGCAGCCAATAAAAGTGGGGAGCACAGAGCCAGGCAGAAAATCCCTTTGGGAGGGGGATTTCAACGCCTTTATGATGCTGGGGTCAGGGTGGGGGCAGGGGGGCAGCGATGGCCGGCTGTGGGCTGATTTTTCAGGAGAAGCTGGAAATACAGGTTTTCATGTAAAATCTCCATGTTTTGTTAAAAACCTGTTGGCGTCTCACTAAAACATTATGGGGTCGGGGAGGATGGGTGACCAGGTGGAGGGATTAAGAGGCACACACGTCCAGTTAGGGAATAAATAGCAATGAGGGTGAGGGGCACAGCACAGAATGCAGTCAGTCCTGTGATAATGTTGTTTGCAGGCGGGAGTGAGCATTTTGTGATGCATATAATTGTGTCCCAACCTGAAGCTAATATAGTGTCATATGTCAACTACACTTCAATAAAAAAAAAAAAAACAGAAAAAAAACAGAAAAAAAAACCCCACACCAGAAAACAAAACAAAACCCATAGATCTCTTGTTCTGTTTCTAGAGGCAAGATCATTGTCACACATGAAAAACAGCTGGTTTTCAGATGAATACACGTGAAAGATTATTAACGGCTTACTTAGAAAATCTCTATGAATAAAAGTTTTCCAAACGGTAAATTATTTACTAAGCACTCCTTGGTATTGTTAAAAAAACAAAAACAACCCACAAAGTACCCGAATCCCAAATCCTTACGCAGAGGGAAGGAGGCCTGTCCAAGAGTCTCCTCCTTCCAAGGCCCCAGAGGGTATCGTGGTTAGACGGCCCTGCTGAACGTGGGCACTTTGCCCACGTGACTCGGAGGCTCCGTGGGGGGCCCATCAGACTGCATCAGGCCCAGACTTGGGGGACACAGGGAGCGAGATGGTGTGAGTGGAGCCCCGAGAGGTGGGGAGGCTGTGTCGACTCCTTCCCCGTCTTCCCGTTCCTTCCACGGCAGATCTCTGGGCTTCCGCCTGGGCGCAGGCTGCCGGCTAGGGACATCCTTGCTGCCCAGTGGCCTGGCTGGCATCGGGGTCGCCTCCCACCCGCTCCCCAGGTGCCCCCCGGGGACCTGAACAGTCCCGGCAGGTTCATCATCCCTACGTGGACATCTTATGACATCATAATTTTCCCAGAGCTCGGTTTCCCTTCCAAGTCCTGTTGTAACACCTGACGTGAGTTCCCTCCTTGGTGAGTCACACATAGAAACTCCACCAGGTGAGTTAGCACACAAAAAAAACTTTATTTGCAGCAGAGAAGGAGATCACGGGAAATAACTTCCAAAGCCATGACCCTCGAGCAAGGGTGGCTGGGTTCCTTTCATTTAGGGTTAGGATGGAATATTCAGAAAGGGGAGCCTCGTCATCCCGTGTAGAGGCGGGCACGCGGTCACACACGGGCCTTAAGGAAACCTTCCGCGTACACACACGCTGTGTGTTGTAGAAATGAGGCTTGGGCTCTTCCTTGGATGGAGGATGGAACGTTACAATGAGGTGAGGGTAACTGTCGGCGGCTCCGTGGGTCACTCCGTGGTCCGTCTGCGCAGGCGTGAGTCGGGGGTTGAGCTCACACTGGTCTGGGTGGTCTGGGCGGTCTGGGCCCCCAGAGCTCTTTGCCCAGACTGTCGTTACTGCTTGGGGGAAGTTCGAGTTTCCTCCACGGGATGCTTTACCTGTCGGGTCTTGTGCCTGAATGAGGAGATGAGGGGGAAGGAAGAGTCAGGGGGACTAGCGGGTGGCAGTAGAGCTCAGGTCTCGGGCTCCTAGAGTTGACACCATGCAGAGGGAGGGGCAGGGGATGGAGTGTCTGAGGAGCCCTCAGAGGGGCTCCTGAGCAGGACGGCCCCTTGGCCTTTCCACGGACGGCGGCTGGGGTGCTGAGGGCTCCCCTGGAGCCCCGGCCCGGGCAGCGGCCCCCCGGGAAGTGGGCCCTCGTGGAAGGGGCCAGCGTGGCAAGGTGGCTGGGCTAGGAAGGGGGTGGGGTGCTGGCCCGCCGGGCCTCAGCTGGCTCCCCAGCATGGACGCGGGGCTGGGGTCCGGTGAGAGCCAGAGGGCCCGGCACCCCCGGGGCGGTGTGGGGGTCATGGTGTGTGGCCGGGGGTCTGAGCGCTCACTCGGCTTCGCACGGCAGGTGTCTCTGGTGAGGCTTGCGGGCAGCGGATATCAGGGTCCAGCTCAGAGGTCCGCCGTGGCCCTTTGCTGGAGGGTGAGCCCCTACACTCCAGGGTGGAGAGAGCTGAGCAGCAGAGAGGAATGCCGTGTGGCCCTGTCGCGACGCCAGGCCCCTCCTCCCCGGGGTGCCCTTCTGCACCTCCACCCGCTCTCCCGGCTGCACAGGCTTTAGTCGCACAGCTGGCGGGAGGGTCCTGGGTCCTGGGTCCTGACGCGGCCCTGGGATCCAGCCAGCTCCCGGCCCCCGCCCACACAGCGGGCCGGTCTCTGTCTCTGCGCTGTTCAGGGGCTCGGAGAAGCAGGCGCTCCTGTTGCTGCCCCACAGCCAGCTCTTCAGCCTCCCTGTGGTGCCCGGTGAGTCCCCTCCCCGCTCACCCGCACCCCAGCCCCGAGGGCCAGAAACGGCGCTCCGTTCTCCCCGGCGGCCCTTCTCTGGGCAGAGGGCAGTGGGTGCCTGGATTGGGTGCCGTCCAGCCAGAGGTTCTGCATGGACGCCCCCCCCCCCCCGTGGGATGAGGTCCTGGCCCAAGTGACAGGTGTGCCGAAAGGCCTCAGGGGTAGATTTAGAGGTTGGGTGATGCAGACAGGGTGCAGGGGCTCAACGCCAGGGGCACCGTCCCAGCCTGCAGGATCCGACGGGCGTGTAGGCCACACTCCACCAGGCACAGGGTTTGTAATTGAGTCCTCGCCCCTGACAGGGCACAGGACAGGCAGGTTAGACCGGATTCCCATCCGGCAGGGCAGTGACGGAGCTAAGAGGGCCCCTCTGTCTGCTTGTCCGCAAAGCCCGTCCCTCTTCATGCTGTCTTCGTGTGTGTGCATTTAAGTGCCCTGCAGCAGGCCGGGATCCTGGTCCAAGGGACAGGAGACATGCTGGTCCAGAGGGCTGTCCTGAGTGCTCCAGGGAGCCCAGACAGGATGTCGGGACACAGCCGTCCTATCCTGGTCAAGCAGACCCCTGCTACCTGCTCATCTGGGAGCCCCCGGGGCCCTGCTCTTCCTCTTCGCTTGAGGGGGTCTCCCTGGGACTTTGGGGCTCTGCCGAAACCCGCTGCTTGGCCTAGACAAGGACGGCGCCGAAGGCCCGGCGGCCCTGCCCTGCTCTGTGCAGCCAGCAGCGCGAGCCGCTGGTCTGGGGAACCTCCGTTTCTCCTGCTCTGTCCGCAGGGTGGGGGTGGGGTGGGCCCGGAGCCTCTGCCTTCCCCGACACCAGCCCAGGTGGTCTCAGGGCCTGTGGAGTGAGCCAAGTGGAGAGAATGTCCCCTTGTGTCCATTCAGCCTTTGGGGACACGTGGCATGTGCACCTGCTTCCTGCTTGGGGACAACTGCCCTTGGATGCAGACTGGGGGCGGGCCGGGGGCTTCCAGCACACAGGAAGCTGCTCTCAGAGCCCCAGAGGCTGTGGTGGGGGTGGGGCGGGCAGTGGGGTGGGCCTGCGTGCCGCCCACGAGAGCCTTTCGGGAGCAGTGGCCCTGGGCCGAGGTGGACTGAGGCGGACACGTCTGTCTGTTTGGGGGACCTCAGGAGAGGAGGCCGAGCCAGCGGCAAGGCCTCCCGTGTGTCCCGGCGAGGCCACTCCTGCGGCGGGTGCTTGTTCCCGTGACCGGTCACCCCTCTGCATCCTGTCTCCTCAGACACGCACTGGCCCTGCCTGCGTGTGGGGGGCTTGATCTGCCGAGAGGGGTACTCTGAGCGTGAGGTGGGGTGTTTAGCTCTCTCCCGCCTCCCTGCCTCGCCCTCCCCTCAGTGCCCTCAGGTGCCAGTTACCTCCCGGTGCCTGGCGGTGGGCCTCTGGCTGCTCCAAGTTCGGCGTGTGGCACCCCTGCCCCTATTGCCTGCGGCCCCCTGGGCCTCTCTGCTCACTCACTCCCGTCCCTGCGGTGGGGGGGGGGGGGGGGGGTGGGGGGGCTGGGCCAGCCCTCATTTGCCTTGTGCAAATCAGAGAAAGAGGCCTCCACGTGCACCCCAAATGTGAGCCTCCCTTGGGAGCACACTCCTAGGAGGGGGGCTGCCTCCAGAAAGTCTGCCCTAGGCCACTCTCTGTCACCTGCTTATGGGCCAGGGGGGCCGGGTGTCCAGCCAAGGTTTTGGGGGTTGGGGCTGTGAGGGGCATGGGGCCCAGGGGCAGGGGCAGGTGGGGCCGGGGTTGTGGAAGAGAGGCCTGGACTGCAGTGGGGAGGGTCTCCTCTCTCCTTGCTGAATCTCCCCCCCTCCTGCCGGGGCCCCCCTGGTGCCTGGAATGTTGCCTCCCCTCGGTCCCTTCCCCTCCCCCCCCTCCCCCCCCCTCTTGGCCTCCCTTCTGGGGAGCCCCCCAGCCCCCCCCCCCCCCCCCAACCGGGGTTTCAGTTGTTGGGGCCCGGGGGGGGGGGGGGGGGGGGGCCCAGACACTGGGAGTGGGTACCTTCCTCCCATCACTGTGGGGTCCAGCTGTGGGGGGCCTGGACACTGGGGTGTGTACCTTCCTCCCTTGAGGCACACGTGGGAGTCATTTGGGGCATCTTGTGGGGGGTGTCTCTGCTGGACCTCCTCATGACCCCAGCTTTGCTCAGGAGCCCGAGGGACTGGTCCCCGGCACCCATAGGTGGCCTGCTAGGGACCCGGAATTCAGGCCCCTTCTCTGCAGGAGCCCCACTGGCGCCCCCTCTTGGTTTCAGCAGGCCACCCCCGTCTCCTGGCCACTCCCAAGAGCCCCCTGACCCCCAGGTCTGAGCAGGGTGGTGGCGGCAGCTGGGGCACCTTCCCCGAGAAGCCTGCGGCCGTGGGTGTGGGACGCAAGCTCTTTCTGTCTCCGAGGCTCGTCCTGCGTGGTGAGTGTGCGCACCGGTGTCCGCACCTGTGCCGCGTGCCCGGCTCTCCCTGTCTCATTTTCGGGGTCTAGTGCGTCTGTACTCTGTGTCTCTCTGTGCTTGTGTGGCTCCCGTGCTCGTGGGGTCCCTACTGGGGGAAACTGAACCCCTGCGTGTCCCACACGTTGGGCCCGGATTGTCCACTTGGCCAGCCTCCTGCCTGGGCACGGGGCGGGCAGTCGGGGCACTCCGGCCGGGGCCCCCCGCTTCCGACACCGAGCAGGCAGCTCCCGCTCGGGGGGGACCCGGTTGAGAGGAGGAAGGGCCGACTGCAGACGTTTGGGGGTGCAGTGGCAAGGAGGGAGGGGTGGACGTGGGGTGAGGAGCCCGGGACAGGGCGGTCTCCGAGGAGGAGGGGCACAGGGAGGCGCGCGGGTGGGTGGGGGCGTCCGCACCCGCAGAGCCCCCTCCCCCATCCAGGCGCACAGGAGGGGAGCGCGCCAGCCCCGCCCGCTGACCCCGGGGGCCCGGGGGGGGGGCGGGGGTGTCCCCGCAGAGCATGGGGGCCCCGCGCGTCCCCGAGCGGACAGTGCTCTTCCAGCGCGAGAGGAGCGGCCTGACGTACCGCGTGCCCGCGCTGCTGCCCGTGCCCCCCGCGCCCACCCTGCTGGCCTTCGCGGAGCAGCGGCTCAGCCCCGACGACGCGCACGCGCACCGGCTGGTGCAGAGACGGGGCACGCTGGCGGGGGGCTCCGTGCGGGTGAGTAGCCGGACGCGCCCCGCGGGCAGGGCCGGGCCGGGCCGCCGCCGCGCGCGGGTAAACTGAGGTCGTCCCGCCCCCGGCAGTGGGGCGCCGCGCGCGTGCTGGGGACGGCCGCCCTGGAGGAGCACCGGTCCATGAACCCCTGCCCCGTGCACGACGCGCGCACGGCCACCGTCTTCCTCTTCTTCATCGCCGTGCGGGGCCGCACCCCCGAGGCCGCGCAGATCGCCGCGGGCAGAAACGCCGCGCGCCTCTGCTGCGTGACCAGCCGGGACGCGGGGCGCAGCTGGGGCGCCGCCCGGGACCTCACGGAGGAGGCGGTGGGCGGCGCCGAGCAGGGTAGGCGGGGCGGGGTTCGCTCGGGGTGGGGTCCGCTCGGCTGGGTCTGCGCTGGGAGGGGGCCTGCAGAGCTGCGGGGTCTCACCAAGTGAGGGGAGGGGGCTCTGCACTGCGGGGGCGGGGGAAGGGTCCGTCTGCAGGTCACGTGGCTGCCTACTCCCCCACACCGTTTCTTGGGACTGACCCTCCCCCCCCCCCGCCCCTCCGAACCCCTCAGTCACGTGAATGGGTGTTGGTCACCCCCACCTCCTGACGGCAGGAACAGGCTCATCTAACCAAAACCCTCTTGCTCTGAGCGCTGAGGCCCCTCCTTCTTAGCACCCGGACCCCGGGGGGGTGTCCAGCCCAGGGCCAGGCAGGTGGCCTGACCCTAAAGCTTTTCCTCCACTCCTGCTGCCCCCTCCCCGAGGGCCATACCACCCACTGCCCCCCGAGGCGACCCCAACCTTGGTGTGGCGACACTGGCCCAGGGGCCACGCTGATCCTTTCAGGTGGGAGCTGAGCTGAGGGGATGTGGCTTTGGGACCTGGCCAGGTCACACGGAGCTGCTCCGAAGAGCTCTCTGTTCCTGTGGACCCTACCCCATGCGACCCAGGCCCAGGGCCTGACCCCACCCTGAAGGTCCTTGTACCCCTTCTGCCCTTGGCTGCCCCTCTGTCTGGGCAGGGCTCATGCTGAGCACTGCCGGTGGCTGCTCACCGCCGCCCCCCCCCCCCCCCCCCCCCC